TCTGAGTCTTATTTCTTGTAAACAAATTTGTAAATTTTAAGAAACCCTTTGTGGAATCTTACACAAATTTTAATAAAGATAAAGGCAAAATCTCACCTTAATTTCAAAAAAAAAAAAAAAAAGTAAAGGTTTGTACTATATTTTATAATATATTTTCTAGCAAAAATATAATTTTTTTGACCAGTGTAGAGTTATTTCAGAAAATTTTTTTTTGAAATTTTACTATGTAAACCTCTTATAAAACCTCCTCTTTTAAAATGGAGATATAGTGTGTAAACTTCTAAATTAAATTAGTCTAGCCTTAGTTTATTTACATATTTATTTTAAAATTTTTGAAAATTGTATTTAATTAGAAATTTATAGGGCAGGTGACTTTGTTTTATGTTAAGAATCACCAACTAAGAAATTTATATGCCATATTCGTGGCATAGTAGATAACAAAATAAATAAAGATCATAGATTAAAAGTAGATTACCTTATATAGCATAATAATCTCCCTAATTGCCGATCTGATAGCACTCGTCATACTCATAGAAATAATAAGGAACTATAGCTTGTAGATAGTGATTCAACCTTCATAAATCCAGAAAGTATTTGTCAACACATTATTGTGTGGTTATGTGATTTACCTGAACCTAAAAATTAAGATTTTTATGTTTAGAAAATCGTATATAATTTTAATAGTCATTAGAAATATTGCGATATTTCCAAAAGATATTATTTGCCTTGTGAATATATTACTGTTAAGCCACCACTGTGACCAATGCCCATGCTTAAAGTGTTTTTTGATCTATATCATGATAGTTTTGGTACTTTCAAAAATGTATACCACTCTTTAGGTAGTACATATTTACAATTTGGGAATATGTCCCATTCAGATCAGAAATTATTAAAAAATTATTTTTTGTTAGGATTTGTTCCGTTTGGATCTAACTTTAATGATTTCATACATCCAATTATTAAAGATATTCAAAAGTTAGAAAATGAGGTAATAATGCATATACTATATAGTGATGCATGGATAATTGGCGGAATTGGATGTATTACATCTGATCTACCACAAGGTAATGATTTTGCAAGTATTAAGTAGCATGGGACGAATAGGAGTTGTTGTACATGCAATATATTAAATAATGAGCTTACTAATTTAAGTTATAACTATGTTGAAAATATACATTTTTAGCAACAAACTAAGAGGCAATTATTAGAAATTCAGAATCAACAATCAAATGTGCGCAAAAAAACAATTAGCTACAATGTATAAGGTGACATCTTTTGGACCTTTTGAAATGCTTAAATAGGATTATCATATCCAGACCTATCAAGAATTATCGGAATTATTAAAAAAAGAATATAACATGCTTATTCAAGTTATGTATATTATTTATTTTATTTTATTTTATTAATTTTATTAATTTTAAATTTTCTTACTAAATTATTTAATTTATTGTTATATAGTTGTTTTCTGATTACTTCACAAACTTACCTAATCTTCACATCAATGTTCATCTTATATAATATGCTAAAAATTTTGCTACGTTAAGAAATATAGCTGTAGGTACAAAAGAAATGGTCTATAGTACCTTTAAAAGAGTAGTTCTGTATACTAATAAAAAAATTATAGAACTTAGTCTTATAAAGCATTATAATGTGATGCAAGCATTAAGACATATTATAGATGGTTGGAAAGACTCTCAGTTTGATAATACTATGGTACTTTCTAATCTTACTTTAGACCCACACCTTAATAAAATTTTCACCAATTAGTACGCTACAGAAAATACAATATTGTATTCAGAGAATGAAATTACAAATAATGGTAAATAGACTTTAAATTTTAATAATATTTTGCTTTATTTATAAAATATAACTAGTGCTCAGCAAAATCCAACAAAAATTTGATTATCAAATACTTGATCAATTGAATATCAAATATCTAACTTTAAATCAAATTAGTTATTACTAAAATTATAATTTAATTTAAAGTCAGCTATTTAATATTCGATTGATCAAATATTTGATAATCAAATTTTTGTTAGATTTCGCTAAACACTAAATATAACTTATTTTAAAATATAGAGAGTCCTATTTGTCAAGATAAAAATTTTATCAATATTAAGCTTAAAGACCAATGGAGTACTAAAAAATTACAAAGCATAGGTTTATCAAATATATTAAATGAGAATCATTTACTTTTTCGAGATCTTTATAAAACATACGCAAAATATTTTGAGTTAAGAAGTGTAATATTAAATTGAAAGATTAAGTTTTACAATTATATTACATATACTGTACTCAATTCTGAAGGTATTACTAAAGTAAAGATTCATATTGGCGATATAATAGAACTAGAGAAAAACTCTGAAAGAATAGATTATGCTAAAGTTCGATTAATCTTTATGCATCAAGCTAATGATGGGCATAGTTATACATTTTTTTTAGTGGATAGGTTTCAAGATACAAACACTTTAAATTCAATATTAGAATGACCAATTTATAAGATTAGATCTGAAGAAACTCGTATTTTTCTAATCAATTATATTAACTATACCCCTCAAGTACACTTTGTGTATGCATACACGAATACATGCAATGCTGAGCATGATAAAACAAATAATCGTTATATTTTTAACAAATATTATTATAATACTATATAATATTTTTTTTTTAGGTTCGTGATCATAACTATCTGGCATTTGGATATTTGGATATAAATATCTAGTGCTATAAGATAGGTGATAGCAAAACTAATAATTCTTTATATTTTACAGATTTAAATACTCATCATAACAGACTTTTACACTAGCATTACTTGCTTATACATATAGACTGTACATGAAATCTTTTTTTTTCACATATACTATAAGTTGAAGCAACTTTATTATGATTTACTCTATTTATATACATTAACTTGTTATTAAATTACCATTTTCACTAAATTTATCGAAGTTCTTTCACCCTAAACTGCAATTTATTAAAGATATATTATTTTAGACCTGCATACATATGATATTAGATCTTCTGATCTCACAACAATAGATCGTTACTTTGTTAATAAGCTAGTCACAAAAAGAATTATTACTAAAAAATGAATTCACCAAAATTCAATTAATCAATGTAGAATTTGAAATATAAACCTGTCAAAATTTAATTAATTAATAAGCATTTGAAATTTAACTGTTTACACTATTAAAAATTTATTATTTAAATATTTTCAAAATATTCTCATAATCTATTTAAAATATATTTAAAATATAGTTA